TTTCAAAAAAAAAAAAAAAAAAAAAAAAAAAAAAAAAGCGACTCAATGGGACAGGGAATTTTGCACATACATGATTTTCACCTCATTGGGGTCAAACTTGGGAGCTGCCCGGAGGTTACATGTCAGTCGCCAGCCATTATGAAGTCAAGGAGATGATACTTACGCATGGCGAGTGCGAAAGGTCGTCAATCGTCCTTGTTTTTGTTGGTCGGGATGGTATACACGAGGAAAGAAAAGAAGACCGTTGGAGCTCGAAAAAGTTGGCGGATATTTAACTAGGACCGCACCTCCACTAAGCGAGATCCCAATGTGGAATAGCCGCTAGGGTACGAACGTGGTCACGTGATATATGACTTCCAAATTAGGATATGTAATGGGAATCGTCTGTAAGCTGTTGATTTTACTCGAGTACTAGTTGCTATATCGCGAAACAAGAGATTAAGGAAAAACACTTAAATCATCGCTAAGAATACAAGCGACCGGAGAACCGATATTAGACCGCCCTTTACCTTCGTGATGGCCATTACTTCTTCACATCTAGCTGGTTCCAGACACCGCGAGTCTATCAAAACATTAGCATAAATCGCATTGCGCCAGGATCAACAAGTAACTTACTTCATCAAATGGTCCATGAAGGTTTGCAAGGAGACATCGTCTGTGAAGATGGTCTGCGATGTCATACCCCCGCCGTAACCTCCAGTGGTGTGTGTGGTGGACGGGTTGAGCTTGGACAGAAGGAAACGTGCTTGAGAACCACCAGCATCACAAACAATGAAACGGGGCAATGGGAAACGGTCGGCAATAAGTTCCTGCAGAAATTAGCTGATTAGCTTGTGGCCGTAAAACTGGGAAACAATTGGGTACATACCCTTGCGTCTTCCTTGGGTTGATCGAGAAGAACCTTCAGATTCTCGTAGCCCTCCTGTTCGTGGTACCCAGCCTTTCTCCATTCTGCAATGGTTTCACCGTGGAAGATGAGGATGTGGAAGAATGTATCGAGGAGGAGGATGTGGGCAGGTTGGATAGAAGCAGAGTCCAGAAGAACCGGCTGGCTGCCCTCGTGCTCCAAGGAGTACGAGTCCAGCGTGGGCTGGATCATAATAAGGGAATCGCCGGCATCTTCGTGGTTTATAACATGTCTGTAGAATGCCGTCTCATCGGGCGAGTTGTTAAACACTTGCAAAAACTGACTTCTGCGGAGATGGAACATGAATTGAGGGTATAGGGTGAAGTTCTTCTCCAACCGGAATGATGTCGGGTCGTCCTTCCGGTAGTCTGCGAAGCGGGAGCACAGTCTGATAAGCATACGGTCAACCCATCTGAGTACGTCGGGGCCATCGTCGACCTCTGCCTTGAAGACAGCAATACGGGCCATAAGTACGGCAGCAGCCTCTTGGTCGAAGGATTGTGCCAGTGTCGGGTCACCGGCAGGTCCACTCAAAGTCCGTGCAACGGTCGTAACTCTAAGGTGATAGTTTCCAGCCGCGTTTTGATAGTAGGTAAGGAACTGCATCATCCCCCGCTGAGGGCCCTGTTGCACAGCAGCAGGTCCACCTTGGTTCGCAATCTCGAAATAGATACCGTAACTGGAAGCCGGGTCGATTCCACACATCTTCCACGCGCATGTGTTACCAATTCCGCATTCTGTCTCGCCCACGGAACTTGACTTCTTGTTCAAAGAAACAGCATGACCAATGAGACCGGTAACCTTGAGTTCCTTGGTGGTGACCACTTCGAGGGCGGCGTTGAATCCCATCAATAAGTTCTCGTTGGCATCTTTGTCAAACACCCGGACAAATGATTGCCTGAACTGTGATGATGTGAAGCTGTCCGTGAGGAGCATGTGACCACCGGTGTAGTTGGAAAGGTTCTTCATTTCCAAAAGGCCAACTTGATCAAGACAGCCGGCGAAAATGTCGACAACATGGCCGTTATTCGCAGCACGCTTTGCAAGGCTGTCGTAGAACTGTAAAATCAGTCAGTATAATGGTCATGATGATGTCTCCTCAGGTCGAGCAAATCATACCTTAACAGCCTTCTTGTAGTACTTGATGTTATCCCGGTCAATATCGTGGTGAGATCGAATGGGTTCCTTCAATTCAGGGCCAACAACGCTCCCGGGACCTTCAGTCGCAGCACCACTAGTGAACAACATAACACGACCACCGGTGTTCTGGAAAGACGTCTCGAGCAAGCTCACCGCAACGCTGAGAGCAACACCGCTACATCTTAGAGGACGCTTGTCATTCGGAACGGGGAATGGATCACGCTGGAGCTGTTCGAGGATATTGGTGATCTGGAATTCAGCCTGCTGGATCGGAAGGAGGAATCGCGCCGCGGGACCGAGAGGAGGACGAGCCGGTTGCGCGGGCATGTTGGGGCGCACTCCAGGGGCGGCCAACCCGAGCATCTCCTGAACCTGCTTTGCCGCATAATCTTTGCTTCCCCGGAACACATAGGATTTGGCACATTCGGTGTATCCAAGTTCGTGGATTTGCGCCTAGCCCTGAATCAACATACTATTCTCACAATAAGGGTATCCAAGATAAGCCAATCCTACCATTGTACCATAGGTGATCAATCCAACCAGCGCATTAGCGGGCAGTAAGGACAAGCTCATAATCAGCGAATCCTTCAGTGCCTTCAAGCTGTCATCTTCTTGGCAAGTATCAACGACGTATACGAAGATGGGGGGTGCGGGAGCCGGGCGCGCCAGTTGGTACTCGATCGTCGTGCTCGATGGGTGAAGCTCCGGGGGAATCGCAGTCTCCGTGATGTCCTTGTAATGGGGAGGAAGAGGGTTGCGACTAAGACAGAACGGACAGATCCAAATGCGGGCTCGAACATCGACATTGCTGTTGATTGCCTCGATCGTCAGTCAAAGGACAGGGAACCAGTCGCGGGGGACACAGCAGTACATACGCATAAGGGTTGAGAACAGCCCGACAGGGCGATTTACAGGTCACCGGTTCATATTGTAGCAATGGAGTGTCGGTCTTCTCCTTCAGAGGCGTATAGACGGCACCAATGGGGACAACTAATCGGGATGCTTCCTAAAGTAGGACTCAGTAAACAAGACCGCCAAATAGCCATTATACATCCAGGCACGAACCATGCGAGAGCTGGGGAAGGTGTTCCAGCTCAGTCTAATGCCATCGCGCTCCTCAATATCGCTCCATTGATCCTTCAACGCCTCAAAATCCATGCTGCCGATTGATGGGCGTGTAACTGCGGTGATAAGAGAGGGGACTGTTGTTCGAATGGGGTCGAGCCAAAGGGAAGATCTCGTTCACTTCGTGCAATCTATTATTCAAAAGTCTGTCAATTTAGCATAATCCTGTGTCAATACAGGCAACGCCAGCAGCTATAGTCCAGAGACTGAGCGTAGAATCCAGGGTGTACTCTATGTTGTGGGTGAACCTCCGCCGTGGCATAAGGCCAGGTTGCAGCGTCTTTGGTCGCTATGCTCGGCCGCACCACTAGCACCGCGGGCATTTAAATTTCGGAATTTCCTCCGCCAATTTCCTTCTTTCTTCATATTCTTCACAAAATATATCAACGCCGACACACATTACATATAACGCTTCAGTCAAGCACCCCATGGTGAAGTTGTTTTCTGTCGGACGAAGAGAGACTCACCCGACGCTGGGCACCTGGGTTGGAAAGGTCGTTTTGATCCTTGAGGATGATCCGGGAATCAGCTGTGGTTACAAGTCCACGACTTTTTTTTTTTTATACTCTAGATATACCAATTGGAAGACCATTGTACAGCCTATATTCTCTTTTATTATACGTAATTGAGCCATACAAAAACCAATGATCGCTGAAACGCCACGACGCCGAACCAAACGCCTGCCATCAGGGGTGGATGGACACCAGAAAACAACGTAGCCTCGTGAAATCGTACCTGCGCTGCTTTTAAGCATTCTGAGGCGGAGGATTTCTTCCCAGTTGCTTCAAGAGGTAACTGCGCTTGAAATAGGTGTTGGGGTGGACGATTGTGTCGAGATCCGTCTGGTTCCATGTTCCGTCATCCTTGACTTTCTTGATTTCCGATTTGTGCGCCCACTCGAAGACTCTGTTGCAAGCAATATGGTAGCGTGCCTTGCCAACGTCTTCCCGCACTCCTCGTAACACTTCCTTGTCGTTGACACCCGTGGCTTGGAGGAGGTTGGTGAGGTTATCGACAGAGAAGTGACGGTATGGGCAACCGTGCGTCTGGCCAGCGCTAGGGTTGGTGTCGCCGAGGATCTTCTGGCACGAGTAGGGAGGGTATCCGCGACCTCTGCGATTGACATCACCACCAACATCACCATAAGCGTGCCGGACGTTGTATTTGTATCGGGAATTGAACTCGTCGTCTGTTAAACCCTTGAAAGATTGGCGCCAAAAAAGAATACATTCCTCGAGCGACAGACCAATCCCCTTGAGGAACAGGGTATACTGAAGTCGACCAAAATGCTTCAAATGGTTGTTCTTGCGCAATGACAAATGTAGGCTACGCATACAAAGGGGGAAATGTTGAGAGAGGTGGTCAATGCTGCCAGCAGTAATTGGAGCACCGTCAACAAATCCCTCGCTTTCCGAATACACTGACTCGGCACTTCCAAAGTTCTTCGAGAGGTGGTTTAGGATCGGGGTCAAACGGTCGTCTTCGTCCAAGCGCGGTAGGGCTCGACTCGTGAGCTGGGAGAAGTTAGCACTCTGCTAGGACGCAATTCTGAATAGCACATACTTCGAGCGCACGTTCCAGTCTAGCTGTGAACTCCGCAATGACCATACTCAACTGCTCCCTCCCAGGAACGTATGCCTTTCCCTTGGAAAGGAAGATGCTCCGCTTCTCAACCAATTCAGGAACTCTTTCCCAATTCACCTTATACCAAGTTTCCTCATCAGCCCGGCGCAACCCCGGTGTTGCCTGTACCAGTTTCTCAGACAGCGCGCGTCTTTCCTCGTCACTGACAGGCTCCCAATCAAGATTCAGGCTCTCGATAAATGCACGTCTCTCCCTGGAATCGTCATGCTGGAAACGGAACCGGAAAAGCATAGTTTCAGCCCGTGCGAATCGCCGACGGAGGTCCTCCGTACCCGAGAATGCCAAACGAAGGATGAAATGCGAGTAGTGGTCTTTTTGGCGTTCCTTCTTCAATCGCGCATCTGAGGGTCCAATCGACGAGGACGTGTTCGATGAAAGAGGTAGGAACTTCTGGAGGAGAGGCTTGATGTGTTCTTCGGTCTCAGGGGGCGTCTTGTTTCGATAAGAGCAGGCCTCGATTTCGGCCAGGACTATACCATGAGTCAGCCACCGAGTCAAATGGAAGTGTTTCAAGATGCTCACTCTTTAATCTGTCGATAGCCCATTGCTCAAATTCCTCCAGCGTAATCTCTGCCGTTGGCGGGACACCATAGAAATTCAATCGAAACGGGTAATCCTGTTGTTTGAATATCGGTGTTGCGAACTGCTTCTTCTTGTGATCAAGCGTCGTCCTCCGTTTAGGATCGATCCTATGGAAATCCTGCCGAATCATATTGACTGTCGTTCGTATAGAGCACTCCTCAAAATTAACCTGTTGTTATGTTTTGTTAAATTTCGAGAATCTCGAGTTAGAGCGCATCGTCTCCACGCCGACGCGAGACGCGCGCAGACACGCGCCCGCGGTGTAATTCACGTGACTTCATGGAGTTATGTCTCGCTAGCCGAGGGACCACGGCGGGTTACGGTAATTACGATGCGGAGAATCTAAATACAGAGTCATACGGGCAACAATACGATTGTGCAAGCACATCATTTGGGTTGTTGAACATCATTACAAATTTGGTGAATTAAAGTAACACTGTAGAACTATCCGGGGACCCTACTATGTACTTAGATACTGCTATTGGCACCGGGCTCTGCATGTGGTCTCGGTCAATGCCACTCCATCTCACCGGCTTCCGAACTCAGAATATCTCCAACCCCACAGAATCGCGTGCTTCCCCAATCTTTAACTCGTTGAACTGCGATAAACGTTTGTTAGCATAGACCATTGATCGCCTTGCTTGCGTTCCCCAATAGCTTGTTTTTATTTTGAATCACGAGGCCAAGATGAGGATCCAATAATTCCATACATATTTCATCTCCCCCCGCCTCCACGCACATTGCACCGCCGATAACCACTGCCATTCGACCTTGCGCTCCGGACATAGAATACTAGATTTTATCGCAAACGATACCCTGATTGAGAATTTATATACTGAACAAAATGTCATCCGCGACAAAGCAGCTCACCAAGGCTGCCCGCATCATCCTCGTCGGCGCCCCCGGCGTGGGGAAAGGAACACAAACCGAAAGACTCCTTACACGATTCCCACAACTAGCATCAATAAGCTCAGGCGACATCTTACGGGACAATGTGCGCAGGAAAACACCATTGGGTATGTATACCCAATTATGTATCCGTTGCTCAATGTCCCTGATCTAACAATGCACAGGCCTCAAAGCAGAAGCCGTCATGCAATCCGGCAACCTCGTCCCCGATTCAATGATGCTCGATCTGATCTCCTCCGAATTCAAGTCCAAGGGCTGGCTCTCAAACACACCGCCCTCGTCGCAACGGACAACCCCCATCTCCCCCAATGCCTCCTTCATCCTCGACGGCTTCCCGCGAACCGTCGCGCAGGCCGGTAGCCTGGACAAGATCGTACCCGTGAACTTCGTCGTGCACCTCCTCACACCCCCGTCAGTGATCCTCTCTCGAATAGGGTCGCGCTGGGTCCACGAACCCTCGGGGAGGGTATATAATACTGGTTTCAACGCTCCCAAGGCACCCGGGAAGGATGATGTGACAGGGGAGCCGTTGACGCAGAGACAGGATGATTCGATCGATACATGGAAGCAGCGGTTACAGAAGTTTGAGGAGACTAGTAAGGATTTGCTGGAGCATTATGGCCGGCAGGGGTGTTTATGGCGGGTTGAGGGGGATAGCAGTGATGAGATTTCGCCAAAGCTTTTTGCGGAGATTGAGCGGAAGTTCTGCTAGTTTGGGGGGGCAGGTTGCACAATGATTTGCGCTTTCTTGGGCTTATTTTGTTTCTCCTATTGGCATTATGCATCGTCCTTTAGCAAGGCGCTATTGGGTTACGTTCGTTGATATGGGACGGCTATCATGGATTTGGGTGGGAAAGTCTTTCGGCAATGAGATTGAGGGTTTATATTGCGTATAGCATAGATGACATGCATTAAATCTATGCACTATACAATACAAAAGATATATGAACAATCAATCCTCATAATACATTAGTACCGTTCTATGACTTCTATCGCAAGCAAGGTCATCACTCATATCATCATCGCAATAGCTGTACTATACTAGGGTAATCATAAGCAACCAAAACGACCCAATCACCTCTTCTTCTCTTCTTTCCCCTTCCCCTTCCCTTTCCCATGCCCATTCTCCTCATGTGTCGTCTCCGCAGCCGCCATCCTCGTCTTATAGTCCCTCGGACTCTCCCAATCCTTCCCATCCTCGCTGAAATCCACCCACAACCCCTTCTTTCTCCATTTCGCCCACCACTCTGCTTTTCGGTACTTATTCTCCATAGTCTCACCCCCAAACTCCGCTCCGAATTTCGCTTCGTAGACTGTAGCCAGTCCGCGCTTCAGCATCTCATACGAGACGTCCCGCTTGCGGAACGGGGGGAAGTCTAGCGCGCGGCGCACGTAGACATTCGCGACGACGCGCTGGTATTGGTCTTGACGGTGGACGTGAGCGTGGACTTTACGGTGGAGGAGGTAGGAGGTAAGCCAGGTATGAGCATCGCGGGCGAAGGGCTGTTCAGGGCGGCCGAAGTGAGCGAGTTCGGGGGCGTCGATGCCAGCTAGACGGACGTGTACCTACACCAGTCAGTAACCTTCCAACCCAATAGCCTTTCGATATGGGTGGCGAGGAAAAAACGCACCGTCTTATCTCTCAACTCCTTCTTCAGCGTCGGAACCTTCTTCCACGGCAACCACCCCCACCCCGTCAACTTCCCCCCAGGCGTGTGATACAACCTAAAATTATCCCCATCGCCCACACTCGTCACCTGCCCATAAATACTCCTCCTCCGAAAGAACCACGGTGAAATACTAGTAGCGTCGGGGAAGCGGCGAAAGTAGCGACGGTGGATGCGCACGATGGCCAGGATTGAGCCTGTTAGGATGAGCGTTGGGACGAGGGTTCTGGTTTCTGTGAATGCAGCCCAATCGGTCGCGTTAAGGGAAGTATTCCAGTTTCGAGGTGAGGGGGAGGATGGTGAGGACCAGGGCGTTGGGAAGTGGTGTTGTTGTTTATCGTTGTCTGGGTTCGGATGCGATTTGTCCTGCAAGTCGGAGGACCATGGCCATCGCATTATGGTTCTTGCCCTCAGTTCGTTCGAGGGTTGTCAAGATATCCGATATATGGGATATCGGACTATGCTACAATTGAAAGCTAGGATGTTGAGGATGTGGTTGAGGAAATGGACTTATCGTGTTGCCTGTGGGGAAAATATATAAACGCTAGAGGATGCGCTGCAGATCTTGGCAGTATGTACCACCATAAATACACGGAGTAGATGTAACACGGCGAAGGATAGAACAAGAATAGGATAATGGAAAAAGAAATAAAACGATATCACAAAACAGTGGTAGCATACATGAATCCAGTGGGTATTTATGAGCGTCTGTTGTCGAATGAGGAATGTCAATATCAGCCTTACGACAGGCATAAATACGGAGTATTAATAAATATCATAACACTTTTTAGCAATATATACAGGTGCCATTTTGAATTGAACTTCATTTATATTCCCAGGTGAGGCATATGATGCGATTATATACCAATGCCATGCATCCTCACTTGCCTTGCAAAACCCTGGAGAAAACAGCAGTACTCTATCAATAAAAGCTGCCTCTGACAACGAAAAAGAATAAGAAAACAAAACCGGAAGATCATGTAACCCTTGCGCCGCAGACGAGCATAAAACAAAAGAAGCCAACATCAATCAATTATAAACAAACAGAAATATAAGACAGATTATCTCTACTTCAGTGTCGCCGGAAGGCTTGTCTTGGCCGTAGATGCGGCACTGTCAATGGTTTTATGCAGCTTCTTCTCCTTGAGATTGCGCAGGTAGGCGAAGAACATGATAAAGAAGAGCTCCATTCTACGTGCTGTTAGCATAATGTCGTAGCAAATGTACCTCGAATGAAACATACCTCTCCTTGGTCATCATCAGAAGACCCTGGACCAAGAGACCCTTGGTGATCTGGGGTCCAATGCCCTTGAAGAGCCCAATTGGTCCTTCTTTGTCGAGAATATAGCGTATGACTTCACTGAAGCTCTTGAATGGCTTGCCCTCCCGGCCCGGGGGAGGACGGGACTGAAGACCAACTTTGGCAACAATCAAAGGCTGTGTTGCAATGGTTGCCAGCGACTTTGATAGCGCACCGAGAACTAGACTCTGTTAGACTATGTACGTGCATAGGCAGAAGTATGTTCAACTTACGGAAAGCCTCCCAGGGCTTAAGGTTGTTCTTTCCAGCGAAAAGAATGTCTTTCAGGCGTTGATAAGCACCATACGTGATCGCCGGGTTGACAACCAGAATCAAACTGGCCTTGAGACCTCTCCAAAGACCAGACACACCATCCTCACTGTCCACGACTTCCTTGCCAGTCTCCCAGAAACCTCTCTTGTCCTCCTTTGGTTGGGTCTGTTGTCTTGTGGTGATAACGGCGACGGGGATGGTGAAAATCTGGGCAACAGCGCCTGCCACAGCACCCAGACTGAGCTCAGCAGCGGTTCCCGGGGGCTTGGGTACTTTATCCGAGGCCATGTAGATAGTTCTCACGATAGTGTACCAGTAGAAGTAGGCGAAGTTGGTCGATGCAACACCCAGAAGCGATCCGGCAATTCCGGAGTAGAGACCACTGAGACCTTCGCTATCCAAGATCTTATTGATGGCGTCCATGGTCGACTTATATTGAACTGTACCATCTTCGCTCTCGTTCTTGACCTGGACTTGGAGTTTCGTCTTAACACTGTCGTCGCGGAAACCAATGAGTTAGCATGTTCTCCATTGCACCATAATTTAGGCGATAAGTTTGTCACGAACAGATCAAGCGGATAGACCACGGCATTGGCAAGTACAGCACCCGTTGCACCCGCCACAGCGCTCTGCCAGGGGGACAGGCGCATGGGTTTTGATTGACCGGTCATCGTCGGATCGGAGTGTATGGTAGTACAGCGTATAATGTATAGAATATAAAAAAGGACAAGAAACCACCGAGCTATAAATTCGGTCTAGCCAGAGCCCTAGGAGAGGAGGTCAGGGAAAAGGCCGAGTGGGGTCCTATAGAGACTAGTCGCAACCCCAATAAAAAAAGGTCGACAGAGGATACAATTGAATGTAATAAATGCCAATGACAATGAGAGAGGAAACGCAGCAGTTCACCCTACTGCGATCGTAAGGAGAGAAAAGAAAGGGAGAAGAATCATAGATTGTAGGTTCTTTACTTAGCACCTCGGCGCGGATATTCTGGAGCGCATGACGAAACGTGCCGAGGTCCAGCTGGAAAAGTCCAGGCGATACCGTACTGTTACCGTACCATTTATTACCGAATTACCATACGCCAGTCCCGTGTTTCCTCTCCGATTCGAGTAGGTCGTTTTGCAATTCACCAGCTGTCAGTGAATATACCTGCCTCAGGTATACATGTCGCCTGTTTGTATAGCACAGACAAAAAAAGAAAAAGAGCTGGCTTCGGACTAACTGGCCTGTCAGCGATTTCGGAGCGTCTCCAACCGACATCCGAGCACCAACTATGTCACTTGTTGTTTCAGTCGACCGTTAGAAAGTCCGATCAGCGTGGGGGTAAACACTGAGATAGCAAGACCGATAGAGGAAACACCCAAAGTGCTCGAATATAGTGACGATCATCTTCGCTTCCTGACGTACGTCAATCAATGCCACAATGTCGAGACCTAACGTTCCAACGCAAAAGGCTCTGGTGGCTCAAGCTCTTGTATTTCACCTATTCCTAGCTAAATCCGAGACCCATCTTGCTGGTGGAACCCCTGACTAACTGGTAGTTCCAGAAAGCTGAGCGGGATGTGTCCAATGCTAGCTCGCAGAAGCAAGCTCTGGAGGCGGCCATTGAAGCCGCTGAGCAATACATGAAGGCATTGAAATTGGTCGCGTCTCCCAAAGATAAACAGGCATTGGACTCAAAGTGCAAGGAATGGCTTACCAGGGCCGAGAGGATCAAAGGGGTCCGAGACTGGCAATCGGCAACTCCGGCGGATCAAAATGGCACACCTAGACTGCAGCCACCAGTGTCTACACGGAAGCTTACTACTCGTGAGGAAATCATTATCCTCGAGGGAGCGAAACTTAATGGGTTCATTTTTCCGCCATGGGCCAGTGCCCCGAAGCCAGAGGAGTTCCAGCAAGATGGAGGAAAGCTGTTTTTGTAGGCAAGCTGGTATTGCTGTCAAGAGTGAGCTGTCTTCTAACTGACTTCCAGGGATCAGCCCGATCTTCATTTGTCCAGCTTGCAAAAAGATATTTTCGCGGGTTGGAAACGACCCCAGGAACTACTGGCTATGAATTTTAGCAACAAAGACCAACCGTTAACCCCGGCCATGTTTGTTTCAGCACAGACAGATCTTGTGCAGGATGTTTTAACAGACTGCTCGGTGGTTGCTAGTCTCTGCGCCACCACCTCGAGGTTGGAGCGTGGCCTGGATAAGGTATAGTTCCCTTGTCTAACAATTTGATTAAATTTACTAAAAGAGGCAGCGGTTCTCTCCAGTATCTTACCCCTTTAATGAAGACGGAAATTCCGAGGAGACGTTTTCTGGGAAATACATCTTTTGCTTTTATTTTAATGGATGTTTTCGAAAAGTGGTCATAGACGATCGTTTGCCGGCATCTAAAACCTCGAGATCGCTTCATGTGGTTGATCGAAATAACTCAAACTTCATGTGGCCAGCTCTCGTGGAAAAGGCATATCTGAAGCTTCGCGGCGGCTACGACTTTCCTGGAAGCAATTCCGGTACCGACCTCTGGGTACTGACGGGATGGATTCCCGAACAGGTCTTTCTACATCAAGAGGACGTAACGGGCGAGCAACTCTGGAAGCGATTGTTCAAGGCCTTTCACTATGGTGATGTCCTCCTGACCATCGGAACGGGGGAGTTAACTGAAAGGGAGCAGACTGAGCTGGGCCTTGTTAGTGGACATGATTATGCCATTCTGAACATGAGAGAGTCGAGAGGGCGGCGTCAGATGCTCGTGAAAAACCCATGGGCTGGACCGACTACCGCGCGTGCACTCACTAGGGTACACAAGTCGTCAGATCCACGAAACGACCCCCTTTCTCCGGGAACCTTTTGGATGGACCTTGACAGAGTCCTGCAGCATTTTGAGAATTTGTACTTGAACTGGAACCCGGGGCTCTTCAATCATCGCGAGGATTTCCATTTCACTTGGGATCTTGCAAACGGGAAAGGGATCCCAGGTTGCTTCGTGAAGAACCCGCAGTTCGCAGTGTCCTCTGAGCTTGGGGGAACCGTCTGGTTACTCTTAGGAAAACACTTTAAGACTAATACAGGCCCTGAGGCTCATGGAGAATTAGGCTTCATCAGCATTTACGTCTTCAATGCGAACGGGCAAAGAGTTTGTCTAAGCGATGGAGCGCTCCACCGTGGGCCATACGTCGATTCGCCAAATACCCTCATGAGACTTGAAATGCCGCCTCATACGACTTACACGGCGGTAGTCGCTGAGCAAGGTCTACCTGCCTTGAGCCAAAATTTCACATTGTCCGCATTCTCTACCGCTCCTGTAAATGTTGCTCAATCGAAAGAAAGACACACGTGCATGCGGAAAGTCCATGGAGCCTGGACGAAATCGACGGCAGGCGGCAATGCCGAATCCGCCAGATACCCGCTCAACCCGCAATATGCCTTGCACGTTCCGGAAATGACCGAGATATCTATCCTCTTGGAATCTTCGGAGCCCGAACTAGCTATGCATGTCAAGCTGTTCTGGTCAAACGGAAAGCGTGTGTCGAATGCTAAAAGCCGAGATATCACCACAGACAGCGGTGATTATCGTAGAGGCTGTGCTCTTGCGGAAACAAGAGCTTTGGGCAAGGGGCAGTACACCATCGTTTGCTCTACGTTTGCACCGGACCAACTTGGTCAGTTTACGCTCTGGATCTCCTCCACTACCCCGTGTGAAGTGAGGCCGCTTGCAGCAGAGGGGGCGGGCCAACGAGCGGTGCTTTCAGATGTTGGCGTCTTACCTCCAGGAAAAGATCGGATGTTGGCCTCATTGCAAACTCCGCGGATGACCCGGGTTAAACTTATCGCAAGAAGCAGACAGTCCTTGATTGGGGATCGCGCTGTTGGCCCTTCACCGGTGTTGATGACAGTTGAACTTGGACAAGGACCGTACAAGGGGACGTTGGCTGTTTCGGAGGATGGATCGTACAGCGATTCCTTGGCTGGAATACGAATTGAAGACCTCGACTTGCAACCGGGACTGGAACAGAAAGGAGGAGCCTGGATTGTAATTGAACGCATTGGAGGACCTGGGGGGCAGGTGGAGGATCATTTGGAGGTAGAAGCATTGGCTGAGGAGAGAGTTAAGATTGGAGAATGGATAGTTGAGGATGCTTGATTTTTAGTATGATCTATGATTTGACGCTTTATTAGGAGCATTTAGGATACAACCGGTATTAGCATGATTTTTTTTTTTTTCATGGGGCAATATTAATCGGTCTTACAATACTTAGCTATTTGTATGGTTCTGTTGTAGTTCGCTTCCCGTGACAGGCTGCATGGTGACACCGCGGCGATCCAAAGCTCGGCATCAGTAATGGTTCCGCCGCCCGAGACCTTCATCCCCGCCATCGCTCTGCTCCAACCCGAACGATTGCAGTTATCCTTTCTAAACACTTTCTTATACAATCGCCCGTATGAATAATATCCCAGCCGCTTTAAGATCCGCAGATATCGGGCGCTTCGCCGCCAGAGCAGCCCAGGTCGAGCGGGTGAAGCCAGCCGTTGCTTATTGGTGTGAGTACCTCAACGCTCCAAACCTCGTCGGAGCACTCCATTAACGATCATTGGGATAGGTAATTTCTGGATCGTGAATCAGATTATCGAAAAGGGCTTGCATACGGCAGATGATGAGACCAAGCTGTACACAACGAACCTCGTTGATAAGCTCGAACAAGTACGTTACGCACGCTCGATCAGTTGTGTGATATTGGGAATACTAATTCGAGCTGGGATAGGTTAAAAGCGAGAATGCGGATAATGATACTATAACGGATAATGTGGCTGCGCATGCCTACGTGGAGCAGTTTGCGCTGGAGGTCTTTAATCGTGCGGATACAACTATGAGCGCCAACAAGGTTACCAAGTATGTTTCTACCTCTATACTCGTATGCCTAGGTACTCGTGAAAGAGGGCACTTGCTGATTTATGTGCAGACAAACAGCAGATACCTTCCAAGCTGCCGCAACATTCCTCGAACTGTGCCAGATCTGGAACGCCCCGGACGCCGAAACCGCCGCCAAGATTAAGTTCGCCAAATACCATGCAGTGAGAATAGTGAAAGCGCTTAAGGCCGGCGAGGATCCGAATGCAACGAACCCAGTTAGACAACAAGAATGGGAGGATGTTGAGGAAGAGGGCCCAGCCGAACAAGATGTGCAGGCATTCGATGAATCCGTTGCGCAACGAGCAGCGCAGCCTTCTGTGGAGGATGTCCCTGATGATTCGACATCTGCATCGCCAAATCTCCCTGCCGCACCGCAAAACCTGCCTACTTCTCCGTCGGCTGAGGAACCGGGCTTGAACCTGCCGTCTGCTCCAGAGACAATCGGATCGACACCAAATCTCCCGGATACACCGTCGAACCTGGGTGCGTCTCAGCCAGCACCACCACCGATTTCGCCCTCGAACCCGCCAGATGTTCCCTATGACCCCAGCTCTTTCTACAGTAAGCCGCCTACAAATACTGCCACTCCCCCGCCCGCACAACCATCCCCAGGGATCCCTGCAGTATCGCGTACAGCCCCGCAACCTGCACCTGCGGCAGCTCCCACACCGGTTCCTGTACCTGCACCGGTGCCTACAGCAACACCTGCATCAGGACCATCTTCCAATCTGCAAGACGCCGATGATCAGACCATTGCGCTAGCGCAGAAGCATGCGCGGTGGGCTGTATCGGCGTTGACATTTGACGATGTCAACACGGCGATTAAGGAGCTGAAGAGTTCATTGAAATGCCTTGGGGCAGAATAACGTATCGCTCGACATGCTGGCCAAGTACAATTTTTTTGAGATCTAGCGATGTTATATTGCTTTTAGATACTGCTCTCATACCCTCCTTGTCTTTTTATAGCTATCTCAATTATGAATGATGATTATGATGGATTGCCATAATGTACTTTGATAACTCTTCATTGCATTCACTTGGTGGCTTCACTATACCAATGCTGTAGTCATTAACTGAAACTTCATAACACCGTACTCTGGAGACACCACTGGCCCTTCACCAAACCCTTACCTCTATCTTTTACTTCCTGTGATTGAATATCATAGAGCTGCATCATGGCAATGGCTACTGGGTTTATCTCTCTCCCTTTCCCAGTCCTCCTCAACCTTCTTTTTGGCCTAACCATATTAATTCCCACCGTCTCTACTTATATCTCTTACCTCAGGATCCACACCAGCTCACCATGTCAAAAACCACCCCCTCTTACCTCGACCCCCTCCCCCTCAGAATCCCAAATCCAACCTCAACCATACCGACCACCCCATGAAACACTTCCTCGACAATAGCGAACTCACAATCCGCAAGCGAGACCGCGAGTTTACCCTCTTCCTCGACCTGGATACAAAATACCACCACGAGTTCATCACGAATCTCAACAACCATGTCTACTACAGGGGTTACGCATGGCCGGATATGCTGAAGCAGGAGAATGAGCTAAGGTCTTGCGCGAGGTCGATTGTGAAGAGGTATGGGAGTGTGTATTGGGGGAGTGAAGAGAATAGGAGGAAGTATTTCATGCCGGATTCTTTTGACAAGTCGCCCGAGGCTATGGCTGTTTGGCCGGAGTTGAAGGAGTATATTGTCTTTTTGTGGTTTTGCGTATAGAGGTTTTGGCCGGAATAGGATCACCAGAGCTATTATGATCCTCCGGGAGAAGAAAGCACGCAATATCGTCAAGGGTGGCAAGAAATCTAAGGTTAGTTCTCTCACACAGTGAAGGATCCCCATGCTGATAGCAAAGAAATCATCCCGTAACAGCGTCTTTCTCTCCTCGCCTCTACCCGAACATGAACCTCAATCGCCAAGTTTCACCCTGTATGAGGGCAGCCCACCCCAAGCCCCCAGCATCCCTATCACCTGCGAGACGAGCAGCAGATAGGCGAAGCAAAAGGCTTACGATATGTTCGAAACGCCGCCCCGAGTCCCAGTCAATAATGGCGTGTAGGTGTCAGGCTCGAGTAAGATTATCACACCGGTCCGCGACATACTTTGTTCGATGGAAAAACTCTTCCTAAGAAACGACTCTTCGAGCCGCGTAGTGTGTTCCAGACGTCTGTTCCGGCTGTGCATGTGATTGACGTGGACAACATGCACGATGAAGAAAACGCCCTGAATACGCCTGAGCGCAGCATCGTCTGCGAGGAACCACAGACCATCTCTGTAGCCAGTCCAGCAGACAAAGAGGACGGCAACATTAACGGCAACACACAGCCTCGCCCCTTTGACGAACTTACGCGTACAGATCCCTTTTCCCCAAGAAAACAACCTTTTTGGTCTCCTCCAGCACCCAGCCCGGCATGGGCCCTGTCTGGATCCCCTTCCGCCGCTTTACGTCAACCTCGTCGTTCCTGTCCTACATGGCGGCTGAATGTCACCCAGAGGACTGAGGCCAAAGTCAGGGCCAAAGGTCAGGGCCGATCGCCAAGGAGGCAACTTAATAACGGGGTTAGTCGCAATTGGGCTAGTTCATCGTCATCGCAGGAAGTTATTGCAGCGACCATTAAGCTGGAATGGACCGGAGTAGTGATCCGAGTGCGTTGCGGTAAGGACCGGGACTGGATGGTTGTCATGCGCGAGCTGCAGAAGACGTGGGCGGTTGCCTCGCAGCAGCAAAAGCAATCTAACCCCGAGCCATGTATTCGGGATTTGAACGGTGGTGAAGGAGAGAAAGAGGAAGGATTGAAGATCAGCGTCATATTGCATATCGTGGGATAGAGAGCAGCGGTGGCCTATTTTTGGCTGTGTCCCGCGTACCTGTGCACTGGGACTGGGGGGCGGGAGACAATGTGAATACAATGAGGCTTGGTATATATCAGGATGACTAGGCTTTTGTTTAATTTTTTTTTTTTAACTTTATACCTTTGGATCAAATACATAGTATTATACATTAGCACTGCATATGGTCTTATACTACCTACTCCGGAATCCTCATGCGGAACTTCTATGAACCATGGGACGAACCATGGGACACGGGTAAATCCCAGCCGGGAGAAATTCCCGAATCCTCAACGTCAGTATTCTCAGATCGGGGGTTTTCGGCTGGGGGGGGGGGGGGTGTGGATTGGCTTTGAAATATTGGATTTAGTAGGCCTTAGAGTTGACTGTATGTCAATGGTGGCATCGCACGGTCAATGCCATGCCAGTAGCAGTATATTGCGAGCTGGGCCGAGTTCGGGCCGAAAAAAGAAAATATTGTTCAATAGTGTGGTATGCGTGTGTCACTTTCTGACCTCTGTTTCCAGTTCGTTCAATTAATATCTAACCCCAAAAGTACTGTACACCGGAGGGGCGCGGCCCTTGGTTCTTTTGGTAGGGGACAATTGAGGGTCCGAACTCAAACTCAATGAATGGACCCGAAGATCATCGTCTTCATAATCTCATAATCCCCGGGATGATCGCATGCCCCTGCAAACAGCACTGTTCGGGTACGTAGTACTATGTACACAGGACGGAAGACTCCGGAAAGGGCATGTCGGCTACATTAGGTGATCGTTGACAGAGATACTACTCTGTACTCGGGCTCAGCTTCTGTCGGTGAGCAATCAGCATTCCCTTATCGCCGAAATGCTATCACCAGAGTTTGCCCGCCCCTCCTCACTTTCCCCTTCTGCCCACTTGGACCGGGAACTATGACATCCCACAATGCACCGGCGTCTCTAAGAAACGGAGCCCGTCCCACAACGGGAGGCAAAGGGAGGTGGTGCTTTGCAGGACGAGCGCGAGCAGCCAATGGAACCCCATAAGCATAACTAGCCATTGGGGATTCCAATTATTCAGGTTTTTCTTTTGTTCTGCCGGTCATATTATATTATTCGAACGGGAGCGCGCGAAATTGCAAACGGGATTTTCCACCGGCGAAATTTCTAGACGCGACGCTAGACTGAGATCGTTTGGATCCTGAGCGGATCCTTTCGTATTTTCTTTTTTTTTTTCCCTCTTCTGCCGCGGTTGTATGCTCTGCTCCTTTCCTCCTAGCAGTACTCCCATTTGCTTGTCTGACTATCAAGTCCTTTGTCCTGACATTTCCCGCGTGTCTGTGTTTGCTTTTCCGTTCAACCGTCATGATTCTTCGGGGGATTGGCAGGCCAAAGGTACAAGACCACTCTATCCGGAGTACTTTCTTCAAGAGGATCAACAGGGTAGGATAAGTGCTCTGTCCTCCGTACTCTCGGCGCTCGGAGCAATGGGACACCGTAAGAGGAGCGAACGGGGTCGTCGGTCGTCCTAGTGAGAAAACGCACAGATTATCAATTGCCGAATGTGGAAGTGCTCTGTAGTAATTGGTCGTCAGTCAACGGCTGTTCTCGTAGTTTTCTCGGACAGTGGTAGTAGCCATGTTAAGGTTAACTCTCATTTCTTTGCTTGACTGACTGCATCTGCCAGGCTGGGTCGACCTGTAGGGAGTATCGTGTGCAGTCTTCATGGCTACATAGTAAGGAAGGTGTTTGTATGCTGTATGCTGTATGCTTTATACTATGTAGGAAGTAAATACAGAAGTACTCAGTAAAAAGAATGACAAGGTGTGTAACTTCCTGTTTCAACGGCGGGGGACCGGGCTTTTGACACGCACCGTCCATCAAAGCGTCGTTTAGTCCAGCATAACATGACTTGCCTCTTTCTCTTCTTTTACTTATTCCTTTTCTCTCTTTTATTCCAAATTTCTCTCTCCCTCTACACAATCCCACCATCTCCCTCCCGAGCATTGTCGCGACTGGTATCATCTTCATCGCATATCCTCTATACTCTTCTATTTCCCCTATTCTCTCACCCCTCCCCCTTTTTGTTCTCTTCGTCGCTTTTAGAATCTCCCCGCATTCTTAACCAGCCGGATCCTAAGCGCGGGGCGCAAGACGACTTGGAAATCACCAGCAAGATTGCTACCGGTTGCGTGCGCGAACCGATTCAACCCGTTTATTATAGTACAACTCGTCTTCTACATTCGATAATTTACCATGGCTGAAGAAAAGAAACCAGCAGTCTTGATTGTCGGAGGATTGGGTACGGACTCTCTTCTTCCACTCTCAATTTTTTAGTGTGATGTGTTGGCTAACGTTGACGTTCTCCCCGCAGGATTCATTGGCCGGCACCTCGCCCTGTACCTCCACGAAAACAACCTTGCATCGGAAGTCCGTCTCGTTGATAAGGTGCTACCTCAGCTGGCTTGGTTGGCGCCCGAATTCCAAGAGGCCTGTTCCAAGGACAAGTTCGTTCAGGCCGATGCCAGTCGGGAACGTGAGTGGCACATCCTCCCCGATTTGTCGAGACGAATCAATCAAAGCTGATAAGGGCATCCATAACGTTCAGAGCACTTCCCACGGATATTCGACAGAGCCAATGGCGAACAGTTCGACTACGTGCTCAACTGTGGCGGCGAAACCAGACACTCCCAGCCCGATGACGTCTACGAGGTCCGCAGCTATGCCCTGGCCGTGGCACTAGGCAAGGAAGTCGCTCGTCGCGGGATCCGATCCTTCGTCGAATGCTCGACCGCCCATGTTTACAAGGGTGGAGCAACCCCGCGGAAAGAGGACGACAAGCTTCAGCCCTGGCACCGCTTGGCCAAGTGGAAGATGAAGGCTAGTGAGGAATTGAAGAAGATCCCTGGTCTCAATTACTGTCTTGTGCGCCTGCCCCACGTCTATGGTGAATACGACCATGGTTACTTCGCCATGGGTGTTTGCCTTGCACGCGTGTACTTGGATTTGCAGAGAGACTTGGAACTGCTCCACACCAAGGATTTGAAGGTCAACACTCTCTACGTTCAGGATGCTGCGAGTGCCCTGTGGAAGGCCGCTGAGTGGAGAGCTAGCACGACAGAATACCCCCAAATGGCCTTCAACGTGGTCGACCATGGCGACACCCGCCAGGGACATCTAGCAGAGGCTCTGGACACCGTGTTCGGACTTAAGTGCACTTTCTTTGGCTCCGTGGCATCCCAATTCGCCAAGTTGAATCTGGACGAAGTCGTCGATGACATGAACGAAGTCAGCTTGCAGGTTTGGGCCGAACTACTCGAAAAGAAGGGCATCGAGCGCCCAGGCCCAATTAGCCCCTTCCTCGAACGCGACGTGCTCAAGGACCAAGACATGTCTATTGATGGCACGCTCTTCGAAAACATCACGGGCTGGAGGCCCAGCCGGGAACGCTTCGACGCTGACGGTGTCCGCGCAATGGTCGAGTCTTACAAGCGCATGGGCTGGTGGCCATAAGGCCAGACCAAAAAAAAAAAAAGAAAAGAAAAGAAAAATAATCCCGCCAAAAAAAAAAAAAAAAAAAAAAAAAAAAAAAAAAAAAAAAAAAAAAAAAAAAAA